GTTTGAATAAGGAAAAATAGAAAGAACAGAAGAAAGGGACGAACGAGCGAGAGAAGAGCGAACGAAGAGGAAAGCAAAGACCTTGAGGAGTAGCTTGCGTGATCACGAATTCTTCGGTGGAGGTAGGTTATGGTTTATGCTATTTCATAGTAATCTCTTAAAGCGAATGATATGTATTGGGTAGTATTGTAAAGTCTTCTATCTGCTTAATTGTATGCTTGCATGATGTGATTATGTAATTGTAATGGGTTGGAAAGATGAGGTTGTGAAGCTTAAACCCAAAACCCTCTCTGTTAATGATGATGCCTTGGTATAAAAGAAGGCTTGATGAACTAAAAGAATGAGGTTAATGGATCGGGTGTCACGTTCCGACACCAGGATAGTAGTAATGGATCGGGTGTCACGTTCCGATACCAGGATAGTAATAGTGGATCGGGTGTCACGTTCCGACACCAGGATAGTAATAGTGGATCGGGTGTCACGTTCCGACACCAGGATAGTAATAGTGGATCGGGTGTCACGTTGCGACACCAGGATAGTAGTAGTGGATCGGGTGTCACGTTCCGACACCAGGATAGTAATAGAGGATCGGGTGTCACGTTCCGACACCTGGATAGTAGTAGAGGATCGGAGTGTCACGTTCCGACACCAGGATAGTAAAAAGAATGAATCTTGAATCAGGTTAATATACTTAGATTTAAAGAACCTATTTCCCAAACGAGTATGTTGTGGAGGCGTGAGTCCTCATAGATGTGCTTGGGCTGTGGCCAATGGTTATGGTACTTGTTGTTGTTACCTGTTGAGTAATGTAGTTGATTTTATGCTATTATCTGATATATATTGCTTTCTATTTGGAGTTGGCCGATGATACCTACAGTACTTGTGCCTTGTACTGACCCCTACTTGTATGTTTCTTTCTTTGTTATTTGCGGAGTGCAACAAACGTGCCATCAACTTCGACTCGTCCGCAATTCTAGCCAGTCTTCAGCATATAAGATTTCAGGGTGAGCTATTGTTCGTAGCTCGGACTGGATTCATTCTTTCACGTCTTGATGTCTTGAAGTTCAGACACCGACCATCTCTTTACCTATTTTAGTTTCTTAGATACTCTTAGATTTAGTAATTTGAGGATAGATGTTCTTGTGGTGATGACTTCCAGATTTTGGGGAATAATAAGTATTAAATTTTAGAAGTTATTCATTGGTTATATTAATGAGTTTTAAGTCTTCCACATTATATTCTGTTTATTATGGTTGAAATGTTGGGGTTTAGATTGGTTGGTTCGCTCACATAGGAGGGTAAGTATGGGTGCCACTCGCGGCTCACTTTGGGTCGTGACAGTTTCCTTCAAACGGCTGATTTCACATTAAGTTATCATTATAATTGCTTTTCATTTTGTTTGATTGGTTAAGATTTTTAATATTTATATGTTAACTAAGGATTTAAGGTTTGTGCAGTTTAACTTTTTAAAGGGTTTTAAAGATACTTTTCAACTGAGAGAGTGATCAATTCTTGCTAATTGTTGAAACACCTATTGAAACACCTAATATTAGTTGTTTTCCTTATAAAAACCCCAAAACAACTTATCCAAATTCTAAGTTTATTTTTTGAGTTAAAATTTTATATTTAGTTTAGTCTGATAATATTCTTTGTTGATATAGAATATATCTTTTTAGTTGTACATGCTAGGGGTATCACAAGCCAATGATTTTTGGTTTTTAAAAAGAGTGTATATTGGGTTGGTTGTTATATCTTATTAATTTATGGGGATGCGCCTTGTGCATGTACCACATATGTTAATAAGAAATTTTTTTTATAAAGTTAATAAATATTATTTTAAAATATAATACAAACTTAACCTTCGTGAATTAATCTTATTATTTTCTTCCTTTAAAAATAAGGGTGAAATTATAATATTATAATATTAGATCGATTTTGTGTATAACTTTAAAGCAACGAATCAAACCCTTTCAAATATAAGTTATAAAAAATACAAAAATGTCGAATGAAATGAATTTGATTCATGTAAATATCAGGTAATCAAACTTAGTTAGTGTAGGACAATGTAGAAGTCATACTTGATAAGTTGTTATTTTTAACCTTATGAATTCTCATCTCTCAAAATTCTTTTCGGTGTTCCTAAATAAAGGGAAGATGTCAAACTTGCGTTACACTTTACTGTTACTCTCAGGTTATAGACTAATTTGAAAAAATATATAAATGAACAAAATCTTACAAACAAACAGTAGAAGGTGGAAAATGAGGGGAAAAGAAGGAACTTTACCATAGGAGAACGTAGAACTCCAAGTGGAAGAACCCAAGATGACAAATTCATACTTGGTAATGGTATATATTATTTAGCTTCAACTCTTCATGTTCTTTAGTTTAATATTAGAAGGGGGAAAACCTTAATTTATGTATTTACTTAAGAAAAAATATTCGTTCAAGCCTAGTTTTTCGGGTATGAGTTAGGCCTAAGACTTAATTTAACAGATTAATTGTGTATTCCTTAAAGCTCAAATATTTTAATTGACAAAAACGTTATTAGTAGTTGATGATGATCATAAAAATTTATATCATTTAATCACTTTTTGGTTTTTTATATAATATAAATATTGATCAGTTGGTATATGTTTCTACTCTTAGATTTAACTCCCTTTTATGCATGTGTGTCTTTTCTATCAATTCATGATTTTTCTTGTTTTTATTATACCTCTCAGATCCTCCTCACTTTTACTTGACGAGCCTATACTCTTTCTTATTATCTCTTACACTATCTAAACCCTACATCCTAAATTCTAAACATGCGTCTTCCATTTCAATATAGGTAACTTACATGAATCCAAGCTCGCCGGTTGGAAAACAAAATTTCTTAACATAAGGAGAAGAACCACGCTAGCTAAATTGTCCCTTAATAACAATCCGACTTACATGATGCCGCTAGCTAAGCTATCTTCCAACATAACCAAAAGGGGGTGGGTGGGGGAACCAAATTCAACGAAATTTTATATGGGGCTCAAGAAATGTTAAAAAGAAGGCGGTGTAGGTGTTCAGAGGTGCAACATCAATGCTAGCCGGCTAGCGTGGAGACTCTTTAAGAACCCTAAGACTCTATAAGCAAATACTATTCGTGTTGTTTACATCAAATTCAAGGGACTTAGAAGTGATTCTATACATATAGGAAACGAATGATTCTAATATGAAAAAACATAATAAAAGGCTGGGAGGAGTTCAAAGAATGCTTTCACTAGATAGTAGGGGACGAAAATCAATTAACTTCTGGACAGATCCATGGGTTTCAAATTCTCCAACTCTAAGGAACCTTAAAGGAATCAGAGATGATAGTCAATAGCATTATTGTAGATGGTTGACAATAATACATTATCCTCGTCCACTAAGTGTGCGTCAAGAAATCAAACAAATAATTATTTCTAACATCTCGAACCCAATAGACAAATCTGCTAAGGCTAAAACAACGAATGAAATATTCCGTACATTATTAGTGTACCACAATATAAAGGGTAAAAATAACATTATAGTTCTTATATTTCTCCTCCATCTCCTACGCTCTCAGAGTAGTCAAGTCATTCCACTTAATCCTTGATACGATAGATATGTTAATCTTCTTCCTCCGCCTCCTAATCTCTAAATCAAATAACAGGAATTTAAGTTGGATTTAAATACGTAACTTGAAAACTTTAAGTATGAATATTTTAAATTACTTAATCCCAAATCCTAAGATATAAATAAAATAACTTTAACACTATTTTTCAAATTTAAAAAGCAATCCTAATTCTGAAACCCTTAAACTCGTTAACTCCTACATCATTAACACAAAATCATCGTGGCCAATTTATGAGTATTTGTTAAACACGATATATTTATTATTTTTTCTAGTTGAATTGTTGATAATTTTTCATAGTTTGTAATAGGTGAATTGTTCCAAGTTTAAGAGAATTGTTGGGACATGTTTCATATTTATCCTTCATTTAATGAGGTTTTATAACTACTTTACATTTTATAGGAGAATAGATTGAAATAGTCTAAATAACAATAGTGGAAAGTAGCATTTTAATTAGTTATGTACTAAACTATTTTTCTTTAAAATGTGTCCTATTTCAACAATTCACTTAATTAACTGTACTAGAGAAAGTATTAAGTTGAAAAAACTACATAATTGCACAAACATTCATACCTTATTAATATTCTTCTGATATTTTGAAATTACTATTATTGTCTCATAAATTAATAATTTATAAATAAGAAGTTGTTTATTTCTGCATAGGCTCACCTACTTTCGATAGTCATCGGACTTACAAACTTGATCTTATACAAATAGAGTCCCTAAGACAATTATTTTGTATAGTACTGATCTTGTATATTTGTGCAAAACTTGAATAGTTTTGTTAGAACCTTACTTTTAGCGTAGCAGCTTCTGAAACAATAGGTTGAGCTTAAGCTCTTCTTACCTTTGTAATTTTATTCATCAGTATAAAAATCTCACAACCATATGGTGATAATATATATATAAAAATATATAAATATATAAATATATATACACACACACACACACACACATATATATATATATAAGACTTCAAATTAAATACACCTATGTACATGTATTTTGCTCTCGGATATATTATGAAATACAAATAAGGAAAGAGATCGGCGAGAGAGTCAGATCAGCTTTGCATATACATTTGAATATAGTATATCTAAAATAAATTAAAAAATAATTATGAACTGCATTTATCCGAAATGCATGTATATAAGGACCAAAATTTTTCACGAACGATACTTTCAAAAATACTCACAAAAAGCACACAATTAAATTCGTAACTAGTGAGGTTTGTGTTGTTTACCTTATTTAGGTTAGCAATGCCGAAAGTAAAAATAATCAGATATTATAACATTTAATAAAATTTTCCAATAAAATAAAATAGAAAAATACATTTAATCAACCTTTTCCTCTTTTTAAATTGATAAAAAAGTTATAAAAATGAATTTACAATTAACAAGCGTGTCACTTTTGATCAATTACCTTTTGGGAGCAATTTCCTAAGTTGTAAAAATGAATTTACAATTAACAAGTGTCACTATTGATCACTTATCCATAGATTCACATGTTTTCTACCTCTACACCCTGGAAGTTTCTCCTTTAGTTTTATAATCGCCTAAATTTCCTAATGGTTTCTCCTCCCTGAAACATTCATTGAGTTTTCTATGACCATTGAATAATTTTTTAGTTTAAATTTCAATCTCTCTCAATTTTTTTATTTTGCTAATATGGAGAAAATCGAAGAAAATAGAGAAAACATGAGGAATGTGGATCTGAATGTAGCGTGTTTATTGAACGGTAATTTGAGAGTTTAGATCTAAGAAATTTATGATATTGAATCATTCATCGTTAATAACTAATAAAAATTATTCTTTGTTGTTTTCAGGTGAATCAAGTGGATCACAGAGAAGTGTTGCTTCAAATTTGACTGATCTTGAAACCCAACAAACACCTAATCAATGTATAAAATATTTCTCCCTTTTTACTTTTCATTTACTTGAATTAAAAAATAAGTGTAAGTTCACGAAAATGGTAACGATTAGATTCTCAAAATTACTAATGAGAAATCACGGGTGTTGTCAGGGGAAAGTGCTCAAGAAGTCAGAGAGAAGCTGAGGTACTTCTTGCACAACATGCCTTGTGTTGTTTATGACTCACCAAATGGAAAGAAGACTAAAGGATACTTATTATACTCGTCTGTGAGGAGAGAAGATCTAAAGATAGTTTGTAGTTGTCATGCTAATTTTCTAACCCCCGCTGAATTTGTGAAACATGGTGGTGGAGGTGACATTGAAAACCCTTTAAAATATATAGATATAGTTCTTGCCTGAAAAATGGACTAGTTGCTTTATTATGATTGTTATTTGATCTTTTCTTTTGTTGTTGTACTAAATAAGTCCAATGTCTATTGCCCAAAAAGGCCTTAGATTTGATGTCGTTGTTATTTGATCTTTTATTTTGTTGTAGAAGAGTAAGTCTCTTCCATTAAAACTATATTAAGGTTATTTTTCGGTCATTCTACTTGTTCTTTTTTTCTATGCAATGTTAATTTGACCTTTTTTTTAGAAGCAAGTAACATTTTTGAAGTTTTTCTCAGATATTTTTCAAGGATGACAAGCTTATGAAAGTACGAACCTTATGAAAAATGACTTAGAAAAATAATTATTATAATTGGATTGATTTAAATAATTGATCTGATTAGAGTTTCTTATAGTTTTACAATTTCGAATTCGGACAAATGGATTTATGAGTACTCTATGTTTCATAGATAATATAAAGGATTAAAGTTTCATTTGTAGAATTCTCTTATTTTCTACGTGTTTTTGAATGTAATGAAAGATTTTTTGAAAAAATATGAACTTATAATGGTAACCGAAACTATCTTTAAATAGCCCTTATTTTTTGTATATATTGTTAGGAAATTCTTCCATCACAAATTCAAAGCAAGTATTTCACTATGTAACTAATAGGGCTATCTATAATAAGTTTTTAAAAATTAATTTGCGCGATTTCGGACCAGTAAACTAAGCAATTCATTTTTCTCGCCTAGCTTGTCTAGATATTAAAAAAAATGTCAATTTCTAATTATCCCTATAAAAGTATTTTGTTTCCTCTCTTGTAAGATTTTCAATAGTTATGTGTTAATTAAGCTTTAGAGTTTTAACTTTTTAAAGGGGGTTTAAAAATATTTTTCTAAAAGAAACTATCGTTCGAAATTAATAAGAATGATGTTAATGTCACTCACTATCTTAGAGAAGCCAACAAAGTAGCGGACTATTTTACAAAATGGGCCATAATGATTAACATATCAACCATCTACAATAATTTTAATGAATTGCTATATAGTATATTGTGAAATTACATAAATTTTATATGTTGAGAGCTAATTATAACACATCCCTATTGATTCTCAAATTACAAAAAATTCTTTAAATTATTATAGGATATCAGATACATCGAAAACCAGTGGATACATAATTCACTGATTGTGAATGGTGCATTACTTAATGGGAGGGATGTATCTGAGAGGGGAGGGATATACCCGAGAGAAGATAAAAATATATTTGACAGATTATTGTAATTTTTTAAAAATGGTAAAAAAATTTCAGAAATAATAATAAAATAAAATGTGTATTTTAGTCCTTTTTTCACATATTAATGGCTTAATCTTCCTGGACAAAGCCCAGATGCCCAGTTTTAGGATTAAATGTCGTAGAGATGTCATTTTCTAACCATCCTTTTTGATTATGTAATATATTGTTATTTCTCGTAAGAGTTGTAGTATTTATGTGTTAATTATAGGGTTTGGGGGTTAACTTTTTTAAGGGTTTGTAAGTTTTCTCTTTAACTTAGGGTTTTCATTTCGTAATAAATTTTGAAGGTACATACTGAAATTCCTTAAATTAATATGTTCTTGGGAAAAAGGTTTGATATACCCCTCAACTTTGTCATTTAGAGCTGATATACCCCTTGTGATGAAAGTGACTCATATATACCCCTACTTGTAAACAAATTGCTCACATATACCCTTTTCCTCTAACGGAAATGAAAAAAAAATTTCAATATAAATTTTTATTTTTTTTTCCAAAAAATATAATCCCATATGAGTAAATTTAATGATCGTCAAACATATTTTTTTGACTTTTTTTTGTTTCAATGACTAATTTATAATTATTATTTTGATAATCAAATTTATTTATGTTTCACTAATTTTCTTGTAAAACTTATTGTAGATGACCGAAAAAATTTTCGAATACGAAATTAAATTACAATACACACAAAAAAATCGTTTTTTTAAAAAAAAACTAAGGAATGAAAGAAAAAACAAAGAAGAATAAGAAACTCAAATAATTATAATAAAAGAAGTCAAAAAATAATTTATGTATGAAAAAAATTAAAATATACCATGAACTTTTATAGAAGAATCATATATATCATTAAATAATTTTTTTAAAAAAATTAAAAGTAATAAATATAAATTTAAAACTAATTATTTAACTTTCGTTAATGAAGGGTATATGTGAGCCATTTTGTAAGGGTAGGGGTATATGTGAGCCGTTTGTATAACGGTAAGCGCATATATGAGCCACTTTTATAACGAGGGGTGTATCATCTCCAAATGATAAAGTAAAGGGCTATATCAGACCCATTCCCTATGTTCTTTATGTGTTCGGGTTAATTTTTAAGTGTTTTAGAATATTTTAAGTTTATTTTTTAAATTACGACTTTTATTTGATATTGTGTTTTGTTATGTTGATATTTTTTTATGTTGGAATATATGGATGATCTTTTATGTTTTTGAGTCTCAATAAATTTAGAATTTAGAGTTTAAGGGTGGAATTTTATATATGTGATCTAGAACTTAGGAACGAACTAATTAATGATATTATTTTTTTGCATTTATTGTGTTTCATTTCTTGATTCCTTATTCAAAAATTAATTAAGTATGAATGTACATGACAATTCCAAATAAAAATCCAATAGCCTGGTCATGAATCACTCTCAAATAATTTTATTTTTGAGTATGCATTAAATTGTAGTTTAAATGCATTAATATAGTTGTTTTCTTTTGTTAAAATTTCTAGATCAAAATCTTAATAGGATAGAATATTTCTTGTCCTAAGATCTAAAAGGAGGTTAGGATTTATGTCTCTTTTCATTTGTTGTTAATATCATAATGTTATGAATAATATAATAAAAAAATACCTACCTTTAGGTCAAGAGGTAAGTCAGAGTTGAATATCAAATTTCAATAGAAAAAAAAACAATCATTTCTAAATGGATTAAGAAAAACAAAACTTTTTTATGATTCTAGAGATTAAAGTAAATCAATAAGTGATTTGAATGTGTAAAAATATCTCGTGAAAGAATTAATATTTTATAACTGAAAGAAAAATGGCAAGGCACAACATTGAGGGGGGTGATGTTCAATGTCAATTATTAATGGTGTATTTTGTGAAATTTTGATTGATATAACAAATGAAGGTGACATTAAACAAGCAAAAATTTATGTTATAAGTAGTTGATGATTATGATAAAAAAAATGTCCAGTTTATCACTTTTTTTGATGCATTTATAATTTAAATATTGATTAGTTTGGTTTATTATTGTAATCTTAGATTTGGCTTCCTTTTATGAGAATGTGTATTTCCCATCAATATCTTTATCTTCTTGTTTTAATATACTTCACTTAATTTAGATCTCAAAATACTCCTTTTTTTTACTTAATGAGCCCATATACCCAACGAGATTCCAACACTTCTGTAAGTACTTCGCTCTAGTGCAACTAGTTTCACTACAATTAGAATCCTTATTACTATCCTCAATCCCCATAGTCCTTAATTTCTCCTCCATTTCTTGAGATTCATTCTACTTAACCCTTGATATATTAGATATGTTCATTTTCTTCCTCAACCTCTTAATCTCTAAATTCAATATCAAGAATTTAAATATCTAACCTGAAAATTTAAAGAATATTTTAAATTAGTTAACCTTAAACCCTAAAATATAAATAAAACAATTTAACACATTATTTTTCAAATTTAGCAAGCAAACCTAATTCAAAAATCCTTAAACTCGTTACTTCCTACACCACTAACACAAAATCGTTGTGGCCAGTTTATCAGAATTTGTTAAAAAGATATAAATTTATTAATTTTGTCTTTATTGTGTAAATTTTTGAGAATTTAAAAATAAGTGAGTTGATAGAAACTTAAGATAAATGTTGGGGAATTTCATATATATCCTTCATTTAATGAGGTTCTTAACTACTTTACATTTTATAGGAGAATAATTTGAAAATGATCTAAAGAACAATTGTAGAAAGTAGCATTTCAATTAGTTATGAACAAAAATATTTTTAGTAAGGAATATGTCACATTTGAAAAATTCACTTAACATGGATAAAGGAAGTACTAAACTGAAAATCTTCATAATTACGAAAAACATTCTTACATTATTAACTAACTACTATCCCTATAGTTTGAAATAACTACATACTGTCTCGCTAGTTAATAGTTTCATATCAGATTTTCAAGTAGATACACTAGATATATGTATACTCTATCAGATATATTACAGATTGGAAAAGAAGCGGGCGAGAGAGTCAGAGACATGAAAATACACTTGGATGTTTACAACTAACTTTGAACCTCGTTTATCGGAAGTACATGTATATTTGGACCAAAATTTTACACGATTGACAACTTCTTTAAAAAAGCTCACGAAAAGGCTCATAATTATATTCTTAACTAGTGAGATTTATGTTGTTTATGTTATTCAGGTTAGTAATGCCAAAAGTAAAAACTAATCAGATAATATAACATTTAATAATTTTTTCCAATAAAATAAAGTAAAAAATTAACATTTAATTAACCTTTTCCTCTTTTTTTAAAAGTGGTAAAAAAGGGTTATAAAAACAAATTTACAACTTAAAACAAAAAACAAAACAAAAAAAAAAGGAAAAAAAAAGTAACAAAAAGAAAAAAAAGAAGAAAAAAATAAAAAATAAAAAATATGGGTCATGGTATTTATACAAGAGTCTTTCACATGTTTTCTCATCCTAGTGGGATACAAGAGTCTTTCACATTTTTTCTACCTTTGCACTCTGGAATCTTCTCCTTTATAATCTGCTAAGTGGTCTAATGGTTTCTTCGTCCTGAAATTTTTAAGAAATTTTTCTATATCCATGTTATAATATTTTTAGTTTGAAATTCAGTAACTCTCATTTTTTTTTGATTTTCCTAACATGGACATAACTGGAGAAAATTCAAGGAATGTGAAGTTGAATTTAGGGCGTTCATTAATTGGTAATTTGGGCATTAACTCAAAAAAAATGAAGATATTGAACCGTTCATTGTCAATAACTAATGGAAATTATTCTGTATTGTTTTCACTTGGATTACAAGGAAGTGTTGCTTCAAGTTTTACTGAGTATGAAACCCAACAACCACCTAATCTATGTAAAAAAAATTCTTCCTTTTTATTCTTTTGTTGAAACACTCTTTA